CAACCACGAGACGAGGCGACCATGAACACATCGAGTGAGGGAAGGACAAGGTACCATGGCACCGAAACCCGAAAATTCCGAACAGGAAGCAGGTGATGCAGCAACCAACGTAAGGACACCAAGGTGTGAAGCCAACAGTCGTGAGCACTGGGAAGAACTCCAAGGAAGCATTACAACCCAGAGGACCAGAAAGTCACGGCCATCACGTTTCTGCAAGCTGGGCAGCACAGTGCACCCCAACCAGCAACAATCACTCCCTATCAAGAGCCAAACAAAAGTATCGAGACCTAAGCAGACCCCCAAGGGTGAGGCAGAAACCCAAGCAGCTGCTACCTCTACAAGATTGGGGACCTATGGACCCAGAAAAGATAACTCCAAAGAACATCAAGGGGTGTACTCACAGGGCGGTTAGGGAAGGGAGTCCAAGGTGCATGCAGCCCTTGGTACAAACTCTTGGCTTCTGCCAATTCACAGCAGGAACACCAGCAGAGTGAAGCCAATCAGACAATTGATACCAGAGCAGACGTCCACCCCATGTACAGCTTCAGCCGACAAACTGGTGGTTCGTCTGCCGACTCTGTGGGCTCGGTCTTCCCCCAGAGAGGGAGGGGGTCAGCAAAAATGAGTGGCGCACGGTGTGATGACGTGTTGCTTGTTAGCCTATTTTTCTTAGGAGGAAGTTTCTACCCTCTGTTAGGTCTCAGGTTGCAAATTTTCGACCAGGCAATACTTACGGAGCACTCTGGGAAGGGTACCCAGGGCGCATGCAGCTGGAAGTACCAAGAACACCTGGCCACCACACCACTACTAAAGTTCAACTCAGGAAAGTGTAAAGTAATGAAATTAGGCGAAGGGAGAAGGCTGAACACAAGGTACCATCTGGGAAGTGAAATCCTGCAAGAGTCAAATAGAGAGAAAGATCTGGGGGTTGATATCACACCGAACCAATCCCCAGAGGCCCACGTCAAAAGGATATCATCAGTGGCATATGCTAGATTGGCCAACATAAAAACTACCTTTAGAAGCTTGTATAAGGAATTGTTCAGGAACTTTTATACCTCTTATGTCAGACCAATCCTGGAATATGCGGCTCCAGCCTGGAATCCATACCCAGTTAAAAAAAGACAAAGTTTGAGAAGATTCAGAGGTATGCCACCAGACTAGTCCTGGAACTGAGAGGTATGAGCTATGAGGAAAGGCTAAGGGAACTGAACCTCATATCCCTGGAAAACAGAAGAGTAAGGGGAGACATAATAACCACCTACAAAATTCTCAGGGGGAATTGGCAGGGTGGACAAAGACAAACTCTTTAGCATCCGTGGAGCATGAACAAGGGGACACAGGTGGAAACTTAGTACCCAGATGAGCCACAGAGACATTAGAAAGAATTTTGTCTATGTCAGAGTAGTTAACAAATGGAATGCATTAAGCAGTGATGTGGTGGAGACTGACTCCATACACAGTTTCAAATATAGAATTGATAGAGCCCAGTAGGCTCAAGAATCGGCACACCAGTTGATTGACTGTTCAAGGGCAGGACCAATAAGCCAAAGCTCAACCCCTGCAAGCACAAATTGGTGAGTACAACTAGGTGAGTACAGACACAGCTGGCACAGTTGCACAGGGCAAAATCCAGACAGGAAAGCGAGGCCAGAGGTGACAAGTGACCGCCAAGCACATCAGCTGAGAATTGGGCTGGAAAAGAGCCTTCTCACCTGGGCAGGCTCCCCCTCCTCCCTATGAGGAGCAGGAGTACTAGATGACAGCACGGTTGCCACTTTTGGTTATTTTCCATTAAATTTCTTTCTAGCTACTCCTAGCTACTAGGTCGCATTATCATGGAGTTCTTAGGCCTACCAAGGACTGGAGCCAAAACCTGGGACCTTCAAAGAGGCACAGAGTGCAGATGACACTCTGCCACCTCACCAGGAAAGGCATACAGAAAGTCAGTTAACAAGCAGCTGCTGGATTCAAAAAGAGGCCAAAGCCTCGCAACCTACCTAATGAACTCCTCCAACTATGTGAACAAATAATTGAAACTAGTTTGCACTCATTCACCACCTCCTCACTCAATTGGGGGGAGGGGGGGTGGGATAAGGTGCTAACAATATCCAAGGGCCCAAGACCTCAGTTCTGGAAATCAGAGACCTAACTACCCACAGAGACGGAAGAAAACATAGGGTCACCACTTATGGTGACCAAGTGTTGGTCTTGGCCAAGAAGGCCAGACCAGGAAGGAAGGAGAACCGCATGTGGTCAAAATGAAGACGAGACACCAGGCCAAGAGAGAGAACCCAAGGCCCCCCTCAAGGAAGCGGAGTTCCTGGAACATCTTGGTTAAGGCCACCAGGGTCGAAACCACAGGCTTTATGCTGCACCCAAAGCAGACCCCAGTGAAGCCAAGTCCTTACAGAGATACTCAGTAAACCACTCCACAAGGACCCAAACCCTTGCCAGGTGCAAACACACCCTGGCATCATCTGCAATACAAGCCCTGGAAAGCACAGGCATCTGCACATGAAGCTGCCACTTGCCCACATTCTTCGGAAGCCCTGGATCAAACAGGCAGGACTGAAGCAAGGCAAATTGAGCCCCGCACAGAAACATCTGAAAGACGGAGCTGACCTCCTGCCAGTCAAGTGCATGGGAATGACAGAATCCTTGCCAAGACTTCAAAGAAAGAAGAAGCCAGCCATGATGAGCCCGAGACTTCAAACTGTAATGAAAAAGAGATAACCCGATAACTTTGTGGAGGTTCGGGGAATCAATGGCCCCACGGCCTGGTCAGCAGGCCTTCCAGTTAGTCGTCTGGTCAACCAGGCTGTCGGATGCGGCAAGTCGCAGCCTAAGGTATGAATCACAGCCTGGTTGATCAGGTATGCTTTGGAGGTACCGATGCAAATCCACACAAACCACCAAAGGCATGGCGTGGGAGGATGGAAACTTCCAGAAAAAGGATGAATCCGAGCTGCCTAACAGGACCTAGAAATGAACTCAGGGTGGGAGCAACTGAACGATCTTAACTCATACATGGTAGGGGGGATAAAAAAAAAAATGATTCCCTCTGCAACAAAAGACCCTCTGTAGAGGAAGCCAAACACCAATCAGGGCTGAAAGGCACCCTAGGGACACTCCTCAGGCTCCTTCTCAGTTCCAGAGGCCTGCCACTGAGGCCCCAGGGACACAGCCAAAGTCCTTGGCCAACACCTGAAACCGGAAGATGTCCTCGCAAGGAGAAGGCTCAGGGCAAGGAGGCAGTTGTGAAGGCGAGTGCCCTGAAAATCTGGCAGAACTGAAGGCTCAGCTACCGCCGCCACTGCCTTAGAAGAGGCCACAACCCCTGAAGAAGGCCAAGCTACACCCCAAGCTAAGTTCTAACCTGACTCTGAAACTCTCAGGTGCTTCAGAGCCAGAATGAAGAGGAAGGAAGACCAGAAGCAGGGTAAACCACACCTGCAGGGAAAAGAGGAAGAGGAGGTATGGACTGAGTCCAAGTGGAGATCAAGACCTCCAATTCTGGATCCCTAAACACCACAAGAGGCAGCTCTGGGGCTTCTAGCCAATCAACATATGGTGAACATTTTACATGGGGCAAACCTGGCCAATTAAGCAGCAGCTGCCTGGTATGCCTGAAACTTTAAGGTGAAGTTCCATCAAAGTAGAGAGCCCAGTGAAAACACACCTCACAGGACTCAAGATCGTAAACATCACCAACCCAACAGCTAGCATGGCGGGGACAGAAAGAAGGAGTGTCATCAGGTGGCAAAAACAATGAACACCCCCTCAAACTCGTAAATTGCAAAACCTAGCTAGCTGGGCTGCTAAAAATGGACCACGACAAAGACTAGAAAAGATTTTTAGGGGCCTGAAGAAAAACCATGCAGGAACTCTAGGCACTGGCCCCTCGCCAGAGGAACAAATGCTAGCCATAGCCTAACCACCAGCTACAGACGACAACCACAGTGTGTCATGTAGACAAGCGCGCTAACCCCCAGTGTGCCCCAAGCACAAGCACAACCAAAAATTGCCCCTAACCAAGGGCCTAACAAAGGACAAAAGACTCTTGAACAGTCCAAGGCAAGGCCCCCATCCCAGTGGACTAGCTTACTGGACTGGTCTCACTGGGACAAGTCCCCAAACACTTCAGAGAAAGTAAACACTGGTTGTGAAAGGGCAGTGTTAACAGGTAGAGAGCAAAGAAAACCTTGAGCACATGCAGCTCAAAACACACAAAAAGCCAAGCCCCCCACAACAAGCCAGAAACAAAACACTACAAGTCGGTGTGGAGACATCAACATCAGGAACAGAACTGATGTGGAGAACTAGCTGTGAGCCAGGGCCAGGCCACCTGGTAATGGAAATTTACACTAACGAGTTTGAGTTCATTTGGGTCATTTGTTTCCATGTGACTTATTTGTGGTAGCTGTCTGGCGGTTTTGAGGCCTCATTTTCTGTGAACCCTCCATTTGTCTGTAAAGCTGCAATGACTTTCTGGAGGCTTTCTATAGTGAGGTGGCAGATTATCACCTGCTGTTCTCTGTGCCTTTGTGAGGGGGGGGGGGGGGCTAGGTTCCGGCTCTGGTCCCCCGTAGGCTAAATAAACTGTGGCTCATGTGACCTTTTAGTGTGAAGCAATATCAGGAAGATAGCTTCATGGAGCCATAAGGAGCTGCCTTTGGAACGAAAAAGAACAAAAAGTTTTAAGATAAAGTTGAGTAAGGACTTTATAAGAATTATTTTTTTTATAGAAGTTAATGGGAGGGGGAAAAAGGGAAGGTACTGTAATTAGTGAAGGTGTGGGATGGGGGAGACAGGGAACTGTGTTAACAAATGTGCATGTTACAAACAGGTTGAGTGAATATTTCAAGTATAACTTGTAACAAACAGTAAAGAGAAAGCAGAAGTCCTTAGCATTGTGTAGCATCAGGGAGCTGCTGAGCGACTCTCAAAAGAAAATTGATAATTACTAAAAACTAAAGCAAAATCTTGTGGGTACTTACCCTGGCTGAGAAGAACCAGAAAAAGAGATTGGAGTCGTACGCCTTGTTGACTGTTAGAAAGCCGGAGAAGCTATGTCCATGGCGGTGTCCAAGCTTGACGTGGCTCAAGGTCCGTGCCTCCTGCAACGTTTACAGTTAGAAAAACACTAAAACATGCAACAACAATCCAATGTTATAGTTATTCTAAAGAAATTATAATGATATGATTGTAAGGATGATAAATGTTGTGAGTAGATTATATTTAAGTAAATCTGAGGGAAGGAGATAAAAAAAAAATTAAGAAGACAGGCAAATACTTGAATACATTAAGTACGCAGAATGTTTACAGAGCATTGGATGTGGTACAGCCTGGGGAACAAGACTGGGTAGAAGAAGTTAGTGAAATGTGAATGTTTGCCATGAAATTCTGGAGCCTATCAAGCTCATGTTAAAGCTTTGTACAGTAGTCTGTTTTTTAACATGTTTTAAAAACTCGTAATGTGCATATAAAAAATTTGGGACTCTTTAATATTTTAATGATTTTCAGCACAGCTCTTTCAGGATGATACTATATTCATACTGTTACTCATTGTCTCTGTTCACCAGAATTAAATCTAAAATAATATTGTTTTAGGTTTATCAACATCATCATAGGCCCAAGACTATTCAACATGCTTCCACTACACATACCATGACGGGAAGAACCCCGAGCCCTGATACGACCCTTCCAGGCAGGCCCCCCACAAGTTCCCAGGAGGACTAACAAGTCCGACATAGGACGGCAACTAGCCGAAGCCGCCTGCACATACTACACAACCGCAGACTCTGGTTGATACCTGGTTGATACCTGGTTGATGGGGTTCTGGGAGTTCTTCTACTCCCCAAGCCCGGCCCGAGGCCAGGCTCGACTTGTGAGAGTTTGGTCCACCAGGCTGTTGCTTGGAGCGGCCCGCAGGGCCACGTACCCACCACAGCCCGGCTGATCCGGAACTTCTCTTAGAAAACCGTCCAGTTTTCTCTTGAAGATGTCCACGGTTGTTCCGGCAATATTTCTTATGCTCGCTGGGAGGACATTGAACAACCGCGGACCCCTGATGTTTATACAGTGGTCTCTGATTGTGCCTATGGCACCTCTGCTCTTCACAGGTTCAATCTTGCATTTTCTTCCATATCGTTCACTCCAGTACGTTGTTACTCTGGTACTCCAGTACTCTGCAAACAGCAACGGACAAAAAGGTGAAGACAAGTTAAGAGCCAGGGCCCAAGCGGATTCCAAGGAAGAAGCGAGCACCTCCTGCTGACACACGAGTCAAGAAGTAAAAACCACGAAACCGCATCCCGCAGGAGTGGTGCAAACAGCTTCGACAATGCAGACGACGCATGCACCACCGAGGGCAACACACTAGACCCAAAGGTGGCCCCAAGCTCCTCCACATCCAACTCAAGTCAATCCGAGGACAGCTCGAGGAGGGAGAAGAAACGCTGGGCTGAAACCAGCAGGCCACGTGTATGCAAATCCTTTGCAACCAAGGCTGCCGAAAGGGTAAAAGTAGAAAGCATATAGCTTTATATACCAACCTGCATATAAAGCTGCATTACACCAACAACCTGCAGAAGGGCAGGGGCGAACAAACATGCTTTGAGATGCTCAAATTCGCCCCCAGGAAAACCTGCAACGCCGTCTGAGCCTCCCTCTACTCAAGTGCGCGGGATGGACAGAATGTATGCCAAGCCTCCAACGAGAAGAGCAGACAGTCTGCTAAACAGAACGACTCCGGAACTTCATAATAAACCCAGGACAGACACAAAGATCCATACACGAAGTAACGGGATCCAACACGAAAGTATAATCTGGGTCACGCAGGAGGTAAGCCGCAAAGGCTTTTCGCACCACATGTGACAGGACGCGAGAAGCCTTCCTCCAGAAGGACACGCCCGAGGAACCCACAGGATCAAGGAACTGAACCTGGGGAGGGGGTAGATGCCAAATTCAATTCATATGAGGAGGGAGCAAAAGAGAACCCCTCTCCTTGTAACACCACGCCCTGCTCTGAGGGTACAAAAACCCAGGTGGGGTCCAACGGGGCCCAAGGCCGTGTTGCAGGAACGAGGGGGGGCCCATTGGTCAGACCCAGAAGCTCCGGCTGGAGGACTAAGCTCGAATGCCTCCACCGCCACCCCAGAAGAGGCTCCTCCGAGACTGCCTGAGTTTCAACACCAACTAAATCCTGGTTGGAGATGGTGGAAAGAGTGGCTGGCCGACCATGGCGACGGATGGTGGTTCGCGCAGCATTTCTCCCATGGACATTTCCGATCCCTTTGAGGGTTTTCAGGACCTGTTGTCCCTTGACACGCATTCCGGCCACGACGTTTTCCCAGTCTTGGGGGGGATCCCGAGGGTGTTTTTCTGGACAGTAAACATCATAGTAAGGGTAATAGATTTGATGCAAAATGTCGCCTGTGTCCTGCGGTGCCCTGTGACCCCCCGCAACCTCTGTCTCCATGCCCTCCCAGTCAGACGAATTCTCCTGGCCTACGTACGTTCATCATCGCCTTTGATGCCAATACACCCGCTGATCGGAGCGTTTTTGGAAATGGTAGGGCACGAAGTCTTTTCTCTCAAGCCGTTTCAGAGTTTTTTAAGATCAAGGTGCACGATTTCAGGCCGAATAAACCCAGGAACTTGATTGCAATGGAACACGCTTCCTCCCGGGACTTGCTGCTTTTGGACGTTACTGATATCTGTGGTTACAAGGTCCATTGTTATACGCCTCTGGGTGACCGTTTGGTACAATATGTGGTCCGGCATGTTGTTAGTTATGAGATCCCAGACTGGGACCCCATATAAATGTTATGGATCATGGAGAAGACCCCCCACTGTAGTGTTATGAGGGGGAGTAACCTTCAGCATCACTGGAACACATAGCCTGGCAAAATATCAATCAATGTTCTAGGGGAGTGAAAGGCTAGCAAAAAAAAACAGCGTTCAATGTAATGAAACTCCATTTTTTGGGTGAACCCTGGAGGCTCCCAGGAGCTTATCAGGCTAATGTATATTATATTAGACCGAGACATTAGCTATGGAGTTCAGACCTACCAGGGACCAGCGCCAGAACCTGGCCCCCTTCAGAGAGGTTTCAGGGAGCAATGACCCCTGGAAAACCCCCTTGTGGTTGGGGTTTTTCCTTCCTTATCTGCCATTGACCGGGGTTAAGCACCCAGAAAGGTAGGCATAACAAAACAAACCCCACATGGTAAAAAACTAAAAAAAAAAATGAACTGAGAGGTAGAAATGCCCTATAATCCCAAGGAAACGAGTAAACAAGCAAACATCACACTTTACTGCTGCGCCGATTGTCCGCATAGCTCTCCCCACCTCGAGAGGGGGGCCGGACCTCACTGCGCTAGCTGCCTAGCACCAGGTCGGATACTAAACTTCAACCAATGCAAAAAAAAAACGCCAACCAGTGTGAGAGAGGATTGCCAGGGAGCCTCCGGGGCTCACCCAGAAAATGGTGTTTTATTACATTCAACGCTGGTTTTCTGAGGGAAGCCCCTACGGCTCCCTGGAGTTTCAATACCCAAAGAGAAGGAAAAGAAAGGGCTGACCAGGGAGGCGGCCACAACAAACTCAGCAACGCAAAGTCGAAACAACAAGCAGCAACTTGCAACCCAAAGCAACACAAAAACGCACAGGAGCAGACACGCTCACAAATGAACTGGCAGCGAGGAACCTGTGCGACCCCCAAATCCTCGCGCCTGAAATGAGCCCAAGACGTCACCAAACATGGCAGCAAAAGCTGCAAACGTCCAAACGGCACGAATGCAAGGATAGATCGCAGGCTGGTAGACTTAACACTTTCGCGCTATCTGGACGCGCCGGCGCGTCCGGTTTCGTCTAACGTAAACGCATAGTGGACATAAAGTTATGTCTTCTTTTAAAATATTTGTATAAAATTCAATTTTAATCCGATTTCATTGGGGTTTGTTTCAAACGACGCGCCATGAAGTTCTCTTTCTCACCACTAGGCCGCCTGGCGCATCGGCCTACCCGGTCACGTGACGGGCCCATTGTTTTCGTGTCACGTGTCGTGAGTCGATCACGCTCCCCTCGCGCGCCAAACTCGAGCATTTTTACCCGTTTCCGTGTGGATTATACCCAATTATTTCATCAAAAATGGATCAAGGTCAAGGCCCAAGCACTTCTACGCCCAAGGAAGCCTCCAGGTCATCGAGAGTGGACAAAATAACCCAAATTTTTAAGAAGTGGAGCGGAGTGAAGCTCACACCAACGAAAATTCCAGGCCTTGTGGAAGATTTATCAGAAGCTGAAGGTGATGTAGAGGTATTGGAGGAAGATTTTGGAACCCACAACGATTATAGTGTACCTAGAGCTAGAGGGAATGATACGGCAACGAGTGATGAGGAGACTGAGGCCCTCACCGAGGAAGAGGAGGCACCGCGACCCCCTCCTCCTCCTCCATCTCGGCGCACACGTGGTGCATCTAGGCTACCTAGAAAAGTAGCTACCAGACATGTTACTCGTCGTAGGAACACACGACAAATTGCGCCAAGTGATTCTGAAAGTATAAGTGATGAGGAAAGTGATGAGGATTCATTCGAGCCTGCTGAAAGGCGTACACGTACAGTACGTACTCGGCAGGCTGGGGCTGGTGAGGGCTGGAGTCGTAGCAATACTTCTCCAGTTGTTGATGATTTTACTAGAAATCCTGGACTGAAAATTCCCAAGCCTACTAGTGCACTGGCTTATATTCAATTGTTCATCACGCGTGCCCTCCTTGAGTTCTTTACCGTTGAAACAAATTTGTACGCCTCGCAGTTATTCCGGATGGCCAATGAAAATGTATCAGATATTTGGACCCCAGTGAAGGTGAGTGAAATGGTGCAATTCCTAGGACTGTTCATATTGATGGGCATAATTAGGCTCCCAACTATGAGGATGTATTGGCAAACAGCAAAGCCATGGCATGCTCGTTTCTTCAGCTTGTTCATGCCGTCCAGACGATTTCAGCATATAAACCAGTTTTTCCACACATTCAATACCAATGCAGTGCCCGTGAACAATCGTGATAAGTTGATAAAAGTGAGACCAGTGATGGATTACTTGAAAGAGAGGTTTG